GTACTTATAAGGGTTAGGGTTAAAATTAAATGAACGTACCTCAATGTAGGATTTACATAAACTTGAGTTTAGTTTGCACAATATTATCCCGTAAGAGCTCAAAAATTCGTTTTTTTTTGACCTGATAGAGCACCAGGAGGTACCATTTAACATTATAATGAAAAGGACATCGCAAGGGTCGAAAAACGCACTCGGTGTTGTGAATTGCCTTCGTCTACTTCGTTGACAGTGACAAAATGCTGATGAACACCTGGCAAACTTTCAGGAGTAATTATAAAGGCAAGAGGCTTAGGATTTTAAATTTTCATCAAGAGACTCAAGCAAGAAAATAATGTAGCTCTACTGCGAGATGTCAAATGAGCTATAAGCGACCGAATGGTTTTTGATGAAGGAGGTAAAAAATAAGTTAGAAACGGAGACAATAGACCGCTACCTTAAGGTAAGCCGATTTTGAAAATTTTTAATCATGTATTGTCGACGATCGACGGTTTACTCTAAGAAACCTGAAATTCGGACCGTCTTAAAGAAAGGAAGCAGAAGAATAAAGAATAAGAGAGAAGATGCTAAAGAGGGAAAAAAAGTTTTTTTAAATTTTTAAATAATTAATTTTTTCTCACAAGCGTTTTACTTGGAGCCCACTTTAAAGAAATATTTTTACTGGGCGCCACTCAATTAATGAGAAAGTTTATTTAAGCTCACGAGAACACTCTAATATTATTTATGATATGCGGAGCGTTACTTTTAGTTAGTTTAAATATGGGTGTAAACAACTCCACTCGCCCCGAACTGTTCTTAAGTGCGGGGATGTAAAGCAATTCAGTTAACCTATTTTCCTCTCTTATTTAACATCCTAGTTGTGGGCCCTACAGTTTAACTATGACTACGCGCATGAGGAGCTAGAATAACAATATAAAAAAAAAAGATTTAATAAAACATCCCTGCGTAAACATATATTCATCTTGAACAGAGTTTGTAAGGAATAATTATTTATTACTATTGGACTTCCCATTTTGTACAGCGCACTGCAATAAAAAAAAATTGTTTTTTCTTAAACTAAAAAGCCCTAAAACAGAATTTTGACTCTTACTTGACATCAGGCACTTATTGTATAGTGTTTACGCAACCACTACTTTATATAAATAGTTGTAGTCACAAAAGTTTACAAATAAACAGTTTTACTAAATTTTTGGATATAAGAAATTCATAACTTTCAATACAGTTTAGCTTCTAAGATTTTTCAAACTGCCTCCAATGTTTTTTATAAAGCACTAAACCATTCGCAGACAGCAACTTCTTCCGGAAAACCTTCTACTGAGCATTTACTTTTAGCTTTAAGAGAGAACTTAAAGTTTATATTAAGAGCTCTTACTTAACCAGGGCGTGCCATTTTTATATAATATATTGTAAAAATTTACTCAAAGCCTGAAAAGCTTGTAAATAAAATAAGAATAAAAAAAAGTAATAGACTATAGAGATGATTACTCCATCTCAAGTCCTTTTACTTCTTTTAATAAGGTTTTACCTTGAAGGAAATGATAACTTAAAAACTAAATTATATCTTTTACTGCTTGAGGAAATTGAGGTGTGCATTAATTGCAGTATGCTATGTGTGGTCTTAATAACTTCTTTATTAAATTTTAGGTTTAACTTTTTTTTTATCTTTTAGGATTCTAAGTTGTTTTTAGTAAAAACTTTTAACACTTTCTCAAAAAACTATTCTTTTTCTCAAGATTTTATCCAACAGGTTTATTTTTTGTTGTAGTTACTCTAACTAAAAGTTAAGTGTTATGCCTTTTATTAAGATTAGGGTTGAATTAGAACAGCTTTCGGAAGGCTACAACTTACGCTCATTTGTGATATATTTTGAAAACCTTTTTCTCCTTAATAAAGTAATAAAATTTTCTAAAAGCTTTTAATAAAAAGTTGTGTTAATTGAGTCCTTGGATAATTCTAAATAAACTAAATATATTTTTTTATAAAGGGATTTACTGCATGTTAACTTCTTTTTTTATAACTTCTTACAGCTAACAGCAGAATCAAAGCTTGGAATAACCATACGGCAACTGCTTTTGCAATTTGCTTTGAAAAAATTAACCTTTTATCTATTGATTCAAAGCGAAATTAAATTATTTCTAAGGGATGAGCCATCCGAATATGAACCACACAATGGTTAAATAATATATACTTTTAAAGTAACTTTAATGACAAATATAAGAAAATTTATAGACATTATTTGTAAATGATATTTTAATTTATGAGATTTATATTATTTTGTATATAGAAAGCGCAATAACGTTTGTGTATAATTCCATCTTTTTTAGTTGTTTTTATTTTATACAAGTTTTCTCCTTTTTTTCAACTTTATATAAAATTGTTTACTTTTCAGTTTATTTTATTATCAACTTTGAAAGGAACTATATAACTTTGGTTAACTTTTTTGTTTCTACACTTCATAACTTTTTAGTCAATAATATGCTTCTTTACGACCTATAAATTACTAACCGCCAGACGAACTATAGAAGCAGTTTGTTATCTATTTTACTATAGTTCGAAACAAATTACATTAAAAAATTAATCCTTCTTTGGAATCTCCGTATCTCAATTGTCCAGGTAAGTAAAGGCATTTCTTTGTGATTAGCTCCTCGATAGGTGGCTCGTCTTTTGCATACAAGCTAATAGCTCCAACGGATAACTTTCTTTGGAGTGGATTAAAATAATTTAAATTCGTAGATCTAAAAACTCCTGCATTGTTTACCTTCTCATTTTTAGTACTACTAAAAATAATATAAGAAAGTTTTATAGAAATCGTAAATGAGCCAAAAATAGTTAAAGTCTCATAACTTCTAGCTATATATTGAATCACTTTTAATTCTTTTATAAAGATTTTTTTTACTTTTACTAATGAAATAATAAACAAGTCATATATTTACTATCGAAAACTACCAACCAATACCATTACAATTATGCCATCTTAAACCAACAGGTGGTTTTTACACTGCATAGAAATTTTATAATATTTTTCAACAATCTTTATTGGCCGCGTAGAAAATATTGAAAGGAAAATATAAAAGAATAAAAAGAGAAGGAAAACAAGTAAAATTTTTTGAGGTTGTGATACAAAAAAAGAAAAACCAAAAAAAGGAGCAACCACATACTTTGATAAATGAATTATGTGTGTTTTTCTTTACGAAATATTGAATTGTTTGGTAACAAAATAACTTATTTTTGACGCCAAATTATAATCTGGATTCTACAAAAATTAGAAAGTGCGTCAATCCATATTAATTTTTTATGGAGAAGTTTACCATTTCTTATGGATCCTTTTTACAAGATAATAAATAAAATTATAAAAAGCTATAAGGGCTGCCATTTCATTAAATTTTCGTTGCAAATGGAATACTATTAAGTTGGTTCCGTAGGTACCCGACAGGGAGGCTCACTTACTTAGAGGCTAGCAACGTGCTTTTATCAAAATCTACTAACGTAATGTATGCGTGTGTAATGACGTGTTTAGCAGGGATTCATCAGACGCAACACATTTTAAAATTCTTGATGGGCCTGTTAGAAATTAAATTATTAAACTTGTATAACTTTAATATGACAGTACTATTCATTGTATTCACCCCCTATGTCATTGTAGTGGAGACTCGGTAACATTCTAGTTTTTTCCTGTAGAAAAACATCTTTTTCACTATTTGGAACTTCGAGATGTTTCTGGCGCTCTCTCCCTGCTTCACTCTTCTCCTTTTAGCACTTCAGAAACCATTTCGTATTCTTTTTATTATTATAGTTATTTGCTTAGTCATTATTATAATAGTAACGACTCATTACTTACCTCATATTCATTATTTAACATTCTTCATACAGAAAGTTCTTATGTTACTTATTATAAACTTTATATTATTAACATCGTGCTGAAGTAAAGACATTCTGCAAAAAATTTATTAATAGCTTGTGAAGGATTTATAATCGATGTTGAGTTGAAAGAGTAAAACTAAATTCCGTGACTTTCCATAAAATTTTTATTTACGAAAAATGAAATTATACAATGCTACTTTACAAATATTTTAAAGGCGAGCTTCAGCAAACTACCAACGACGTTTATTAAGACTCGCTTTTATTCATTATTATTTTGGACACAACGCGCAATGCTTACGTTTGTTAAGGGCTACTATTCGATTGGCGCAGGCACTTTAATTGATTATCAATTTTATTATTATCGTTAATGCTTTTTATAGGAATTGTGCGACGAGGAATGCCTACTTCAAACGCTTGGCGGCTTGTGCTTAGCGGGCACGAGGGATAATCCCACCAATCGGACGCCTCTACTATACAAGTCGTACATCCGACTGGCGGATAAGCCGTCTTGCAGCCACCAACAACTCGCTAGTCGTCTTCTTTTAGCCAAGGAAGCAGTAGAGGTGAGCCCACTAAGATTCACGTGATAGCTGGAGAGTTATTATCGGTCCTCGAAGCTTTTTCATATAAACTTTTGAACTACTATTCTTCATAGGCGAGCTTGCCTGCCACAGACCTCTGCCTCATTGGTGAGCAGTGCAGCTTGATGTTCCCCCAACACACTGCTCTCCCTTCTTTAGTATATTTGGATACCATTAGAGTATTTATTTGTACTGTTTCATTTAATTGATTACTTTTCCTACTTTAGAGTTGCATTATATTTCTTTAAAAAGTATGTTTTCTTTATTATAGGAGAGCAACTCATTTTGGTTTATTATTATGATTTCCTTAAATTATTGCGACCTTCTCCATTTGCTGTTTCTAGACATTACTCTTTTTCATTGGCCCCATAATTTTGTTCGCTGGCTCGTTCTCTTCTCTTCTGCCGTTCGTCATTGGCCCTCTTTGATCATCTCATTACAATCCTTTTTGTGTTGTCTCTTGTTAAACTTTGTATTTCTTGCTGCTCTCACCTGCTTGTCACCGTGAAACAAGAGAAACTTTATAGACTGACTTTTTTTGCGTAGAGTTCCTATTGGAGAATGAAAGGGAATGCTGCACTCGCCGCCTATTATTTAAAGAAAAGCCTCTTGCTAAGCGAAGTTTGCCTTTTATTTTTATAAAGTAAACAAAAGTAGCGATCTGAGAAAGTTTATCACTTTGCTGTATTAAAAGTTTTGTGCACTAAAGTTTTTGCCTAGTATTCGCAGCCTCTCATAGATGAGCTCTGCCACGCCACGTGTTCTTTGGCAGAGTCTTTAGCCAATCAAACAGGTGTTCATATTTTCTAGTCATCTTTGTGTGTTGATTCCAATTATTTAAGGAAACTTTGATGCTGCCACGAGGATGCTCAATTTGGCTTCGACGCACTTTTCAGTGAATGTTGTTTACTTATTTGCATGTGTTTATAGTAATAGTTGAGCATTCTTTAGGTGATTGGTGCGGAGCTGTCCTTAAAAAAGTTGCAGTACGAGGAACAGGCTTTGCAAAATAATTGGAGCAATTGCCGAAAGCATCTTCCTCATATCCAGTCCTTTCTTACCGCCGATAAACACGGCGCCATTGGTTTAAATATTTTTTTCGCTCTTTTTTGTGTAACTCTTTACTTTGCCGACTGCGGCGCCATGCTATTATTCGTCCCTGTTCGGTAAGGCCATGCAGGGCCACGTGCTATCAGTGAGACCTCCGTGGCCCCACATGCCTTTTCTATTTCCTACCTTTTATATTTTATTATAGTTTCTTCGGTACTGGCTTTATTGTACTTTCTAGCGCAGCCAACAGCTCTTACATCCAATAAGAACGTGGCCTACCGTATTTTACACCCCCTTTAGCTATTTTGGCACCACAAAATTTTAGCTACATGAACTTTTCATAAGTTGTTGATACATTTTACTACGTACAGATGCCCAAATCGTCTGCTTACAACTTCGCGGCCAATACGAAACGTCCCTTGGTAACTGGCCGAAAGCTCTTCAGTGCTTCTCATACTGCCGCAAGTTTATAGATTTTCTCCCCGTGAAAGACCAAATTTCCGTTTATTTGGTCGTTATTATTATGCTCATCCGCACAATTATCCACCATCTTCTTCACAAACACCTTATAATTATTTATAGAAGTCCCAACTTTCTACATCGTTAGTTTTCGAAAAACTTTGTATAATAATTCAACTAATAAGCAGTCTTCTTACAGTTTATATTTTAAATACTTTATTACTATATAATGAAGGACTCTACCAACGCTCTAATTTTGAGCGGAAATTATTGTTATGCTATGGAGCCTGCCATTGGAGCCTTTTCGCTCAGCAAAAAATACCAATTTCATGATCTTTTTGCAGAAAGTATTTTATTACTTGCCAGAATCCGCCTTTACTCTGACGATGCTTATAATGCTCTTGCACTTATCATGGTAAGAGTAAAACCGTTTAGAAACTTTATTAATAGAAATGCTAACACCTTCTTATTGTGGCACAGGAAATCGTTCAACACGTCATTGCACACGGAAATACCAAAATGTCCATCAATATTTACCATCTACTGAGTATCTGTGCTTTAAACCTTTTCGGAATATTTAAAAGTGGTAATAGTCATGAAAAGGAAAGTAAATTCCTTCTACAGTTTTGCCTTGAAGGTGTTCGGAAAACTGAATCGTTTTTCCCACAGTATAACTTATTAAGAAAAAGATACTTGGATACTCCTACTTCTAATAGTAATACTAACACCTTTGTGCGAGTTACGAGGTCAAGTAGCAGAGTAAAAAGTGGGGAAAGATTTTTAAATACCAACCAAGATTATAGTGCAAGATATAGAAAAGGATCTAAAAAATCATCCACAAAACATAATGCTAGAAAGAAAACATTTCCAGCCGCTTTATTAGAAAGTTATTACTTACAAGCACTATTACACCACTCTCTCGGAAATTTTAAAGAAAGAAATGTTAATGCAAAATTGTTCAGGCTAGCTTATTTGCAACAACTTAGTTTGTAAAGCTGTCTAAATCTGTTATTAATTTTAATACACGTATCTACAGCAAGTCTTTTTACACTTTTAAATAAACTTTTAGTAGTATTAATACTATTTGTACTAAGTAACCTTCGCCTTTCAGCTTTACAGGTTTTAGTAGCTTACACGTATAGCTTATAAAGATGTATATAAAAGTTAATTGGTATAAGGCCAGAGTGATGCCCGACTTCCCAGTAAGGTGGACAGCTGGATGTGTGCAAGGTTTTGACTGCATCATTTGATAAGGGGGAATTAGAAAAGAAGCAAGCATCAAAGGAGAGGGGTGAATAGCGTGTAGCTAAAAACTTTGGCCTATTATTTGGATTAATGCCTCCGGCTTTTGCTGTCCCGCTTATTTTGAACAGGACATGAAGATGCTCTGAGGACAATCGCAGCAGAAGGATGCATGAATTGCCCTTTTTCATCACGTGGGTCGTCGTAGAAACGCGGCATATGTAGGATGTGCCGGTCGCCTACTTTTTAAGCATCCTTCCATCCAAAACCCCTTTTCGGCTGTTACGGGCAGCGTGTTTGCATTAAAAAATCGCCTTAGAAAATAGTGAAGCAGCACATCAGCAAATTATTTTTAGGATGTTTGTAGGTTGAAATCAACTCTAACGAATTCATGCCACCAAGTTGACATGGATCCGCACAGTCAGTTAGGGAGAATGATCGGGTGGTAAGATAGGTTTCACCGCATTAGAACGGCAGCGCCCCCGTAGCGCTTGCTAAGAGCCTTATAGGTTCCATGAGCATTAATTTACGCTTATACACTTTCTACAAAGCTCAACATAGCACAACTTGAATACTCTCTACGCAGAAGCTATTTAAGATATAAGTCACCTCGTAAACTAATTCAGTTGACTAAACAGTTTACGCTTTAAAAAATGGCGACCATATGCAAAAATCATTAATAAAAAAAAAGGCTATTTTTAAAAAGTATCTTCAAATGTTCCTTTCTTGCAACTTAACTAAATATTACGTAATTCTTAAAATCTTACGAGATTTTTTAAGACTAAGTAGAATTGGTAACTAGACCGAGCTTGACATATGAAAGACATAAAAAACAGGAATAAAACAATTATTTTATGGTATTACCGTTTAGTTAATAACATTAGAGAACAGATAATCAAATTAACGTGCTGCTATTGCTCGCTCAGGCTATTAGTAAAATTGTTACAATTTATAAAATATAGGTAAAACTTTTAACCCAAGCTCTTAAAAATAATTACATGTTAAGCACAGCCCTCTAGACGTATTAATCTTCAATATTGTTATAGACAATTGCTATTATAAACCCATTATGCAATTCAGGTTTCCTTAAATAATCGAGTTAAGCGTATTGTGAAAAATTATAATTATATTTTAAATATAATAAACTTAAGATAATAAGTTTAAGCACTTAACCAAAACATTAGGTGTCCTCATGTATTAGAAAGGGACCGTTCTGTACAAGCATAAAATAAACTGGTAAAAGGTAGACAACACTGTGGTTTGATCTAGGGCGTTAGGAAAAAAGCTGCATCAAGGCCGTGTTGCTTACAATAAGACAATGTCATAATAGATAATATTATGCCCACTTAATTTATTTAGTACTTTACAATAATAATGATTGAAACGGTTGAAACTAGACCTTCTAAATTCTTTCTGTTTATTAGCCACCGTAGCTAGTGTCCTTAGTCCTACTATCACAGTAATGGCTCATTAATTTTGTGAGGCCAATTCGGCTAATAAACGGGTTGAAAAAAATTGATAAAAACTATTTAAGATATATTTTTAAATGCAGATTCGTTAAGACTTATAAAAAATAAAACCACATGCTGCTTAGAAGATAAACATAAAGTAGCAAAGAGGACCTCAAAGTTTTAACAATGTTAATAATAATTTTTTTGGAAGTAGAATTAACACCTAGATCCTGCCATTTTGGTGTTAAAGCTCCTGGAGAGACCTATCAAAATCTAGTCATACCATAACAAATGCTACTGACTTTGTAAACTTTAACGGTAAAGTTAAAGAATTTACAATAAGATTTTACTAAACATGAATTAGTTACAGGTTAAAAAAAGTATTTACTTTATTGAAAATTTTTTTTAACTTACTGTAGGGGTATAAATGAGGCCACCATTAATCAAAGTTTGTTAAATACCTACAGCAATAGATCAAATAGCCCAAGCGAGAAACAAGGAGAGTGTTTTATATTATATAAACTTACTAGATATAGCCCAAATGTTTCTAAATGTGGAAGTGGTGCCAGTGTTGGTAGACAAGCAAAACAGCATTTATACGAAGCAACCCTAATTAAAATTTATGATCCATTGAGGGCTATTTCCATTGAACGCTGAAGGGTGTCAAATGCACCAATAAATAAATCTGTGGAGCGTAGAAAAATATTTTGACTGTTTTCTTATTTTAGCTACTGGTTTACAATGTTAAAATACCTTTTTGAGAGAAAAGCCTCAAAAACTAATAATTACGAGGAAAACTACAGAAAATTTAATAGTTCAACATGCAGAACTCCTTCGTCAAGTGCTGCCTATCTTGTCTCCAGGAATGTCTGTACTAAATACCAGTTAAGAACACATAGGGATATAGCATTTCCATCAGAAATGGCTGAAGAAAAATCTCTGCCTCTAAACTTTGTTCCTGAACATTATCTGCAGTTTAAAAGAGGACCCAATATTATTCCGCCTTACCCTTATGTGGATTACTTTGCCTTATCCCCTTTGAGGAGAAAAAAGGGTCGGTTTGTAAAAGCACTATCCTTTACTCGTAAAAAGTTTGGATTTATTCACCGAAGAGCTTCTACAAGTAAAGGTAACATAGAGTCCTCTTCTGAGAACACTTTGGCTATATCTGATGAAAACTTTATACTTTTCGACATTGATTTTGAAATTTATGACCGCGAAGACCTTAGGCCCTCTGAAAAACAGAGATTAGTCGAAGAGTTAATTTTGTTAACTTCTCAAAATGACCAAAACTATTTTTCTGACGTGGATTCTTACGAAACTCCTCCAGCCTATTGCCTCGTTGTAGGTCAAGAACTTTATTTAGAAGTTTTTTTGAAGCTTGCAGATAAGAATTATGGGGAGTTGGATCTTACTGAAGACATTCAAAAGTTCACTTTATAATATAATTAAGCTTCTCAATGTTTTATGATATCCCGATCCCTTACGATAATGTTTTGCTAGCTTCCTAACTTTTTTTATTATATATTTCTTTTTTAAAAGGGGAGAAATTTTTAAAATCCTGAAGATTATTCACTTTATTATTAAATATAAAGAGTGGTAGGCTTTAAAAACAAATGGAGATCATTCAAAGCACACCGTTTCTTTCTCGGACTTTATTTATAAACATGTCAATAAATCTATTAACCCGTAGAGAAATTTGCGAATAGTATGTACCTTATAATAAGCTGAATTTTAAGCCTTTGTGCAAAGGACAGAGACGAGCACAAACATTTTACTATAGTAATGAGTATTAAACTTCTACCAGGGAAAAATAATTTGTTGGTAAGCTCTATTTACAACTCGCAATATCAGAGAATAGTAATTGTCTAATTTAAGTCTAGTTATTTTAAGGCTAAAGAAAAATCCTTGCTAACACCTGGGCAATAGGGCTAAATTGTAAGTTAGGGGGAAAGTACAGGACGTTTTTTTTTTAAATTACCACCACTGTGGTATTGTAAGAGAGGTAAACTAGAGCAAAAAAGCCATTAAGTTGAGCCTGGTTAAAAACGCCTGTTAAGTTTCCATGCTTTCTTTTAACTATTAGAGTTTTTAAATTAACAGGCATCATTAAAAACAAATTTATTTAAGAACATTTTCTTCCAATCTAACGATAGTTTCTTCCTTTCCACCGATAATATATAACATAAAGAAATATCACATTAAAACAGTTTAACTAAGAGACTCCAGCCTATTTCTTGCCTAATGATGCATATTTGAATAAAAAGAAAGTGTTTTGATTTTTCTATTTAAGAGTAGTAAAGGTTTGGTAAAAGTATTTGTGCACTAATATACTTTTTTTAAAAAAAACTTAGTCCCTCCTAAGAAAAAAATTTGTCTGATTAAAAAAAAGTTAAAAGGCAGTTTAGTCTTGCTCAGTAAATATTATTACCCCTTACTTTAGTTTTAAGTCTAAGTGATAATAACCCAACTCTAATTCTCTGACTGTGACTTACTTTTTTAGCACAGATAGAACGATATAATTTATCACTATAATAACTTTGGAAAGGGGTAATATAAATATTCTTTGTGTGTAAAGAAAAGCTCTAGCCTTTTAAAAGATAATTTAGTTTTTCAAAACCACCATCAGGTGATGTATATAACGGTATTATTATCCTATTGACCCATATCAATGGGCAAAAAAAAAAAGGTAGGATATTATAAAGTTTAGAAAAAGAAGGATTAAAAAATATAGCATTAAAAAGTCTCAAGGCAACTTTTCCTAAGCGTCTAAAAGGGTAATCTTGAGGTGCAAATAGAGCATACTACCTTTACAGTTTCCTAAGTCATATTGCAGCAGGTACTGATATCTAACATTTTATTTATTTATTAAGTTGGAGTAATACAATTAAGAATATACGTCCTTTTACTGCTTAATCCCTATTCACCTTGCAGCAAAGGGGCGGAGGGCACATTCCAGTAGTAGAGAAAGTTGACCTTTTACAATCATCTGTTATAGAGCACACATCAGTTGTATTTTTGTTTTTATTTAATTAATACTTATAAAAATTATCATTTATTATTACATTTACTGTCATTATTACTAAAATTATTATTATTACTAAGAATATTATTATTACATTATTGCTATTATTATTATTATTAATATTATAGGTAATAGTAACGAGGGTAGTATTATAGGTACCCCTAGTCTGTCAATTAAACTGTGTAGGATCAACAGGTGCTTAGGTCTCATATATTTGGTGTCCCACCGAGGAGCGTGAGTTATTATCGTAGATTGCAATTTGTTAGAGTGAATGC